TTGGCAAAATTGACAGCAAGATATTCTGGACACTGTTTGTGAGCAATTTTATAAACATGATTTAGCTTCAGTTGTTTTACTCTGTCTTCAACATTCAGCATATCCAACTGCTTTAATTCATCTTGGCCTACATGTTCTCTTGGTCCCAGCCCCAGGATGAATCTTACGATTTTGTTCTGGGTGATTTGCAGTCTATCTTTCAATTTTTTTGTCAAGGCAGAGTACCATGAAGAGCAAGCGTAATCCATATGGCATTGTATAAGGGCTAGACATAGGGTCCTGCGAGCCTCAGTAGGTAGACACTGGGCTTGTTTATACAGGAACTTCAGTCTGGCATTCGCTTTCTTTACTACACTGTTCCCTATCAATTCTCCTGACATGCATGGGTCAAAGGGGATTCCCAGATATTTTACTGATGAAACCAAAGTGATGGGCTCTCCATTACACTGGGCATTAAAATTATTTACCCTTCTCAGTTTGTGCTTCGTGCCAAAGAGAATGGCTTCAGTTTTCCCGAGGTGTAATGATAGTTTGTTGTCTACTAACCATTTGCTGCAGGACTCCAGTTCCAGTGTTAAAACATTAGCTATATCTTGTGGGTCTTTACCTGACACTAACAGAGCACTGTCATCTGCATACAGTAGTAGTTTGCACTTGACACTGATAGACATGTCGTTAACATAACATAAGAATAATAAGGGACCCAGAATACTACCTTGGGGAATTCCACATGCTATCGGCAGGGGTTCTGATTCCGTTTTGTTGATTTTGACAATTTGTCTCCTGTTGCTAAGGTAGGACTTAAACCAGTCTACAGAACCTATACCGATAGCTTGAAGTTTCTTACATAATATATTGTGGTTGACAGTTTCAAAGGCCTTTTGCAAGTCTAAGGTTACTATACCTATGAGGTTCCCCTTTGACATTTCAGTTCTCAGGTAATCCATCAGATTAATTAGGGAGGTGTCGGTTGAGTAAGATTTTCTAAAGCCCGATTGATAGCTATGGAGAATGTTGTAGTCATTAAGGTACTTAACTACTTGAGAGTACACCGCCCTCTCTAGAATTTTGGATATTATACTGAGTATACTAACAGGCCTATAGTTGCTGACATCAGACCTACTATTTTTCTTGAAGATAGGAGTAACTCTGGCCTCCTTGAACCCCTCCGGTACGGTATTAGTGGTGATTGATAGATTTATGTGAGCAATAGGGATTGACAGTTCAGAAGCACAATCTTTTAGGAGCTTAGACGGGATGTTATCAAGGCCTGTGCTCTTAGTTGGGTTTAACCTGCTTAGTTCTTTTTGAATAAAATCATGAGATACACTTACTAGTTGACAACTGTTTGGGGTTACCCCTTTATTGGTATAGTATGTTTGAAACTTATCAGAGTCTGTGTTTAAGGTATTTGATGCAGCTGGTAGTTTACTTACTAGTGTTGATGCAACAGATGTGTAGTAGGAATTAAAGCAATTTGCCACCTTAGATGTTTCGTGGCATACCTCGTTATCGATAGTGAGTACTATGTTAGACCTATCTACTGGCTTATGGCTATACCCCAGCTGTTTTAGTTGTTGCCAGAGCTTTCTGGGGTTATGCTTATACTCTTCAATTTTTGAGCAATAGTGCTTTGCCTTTGCTCCTTTTATAAGTCTCTGCACTCTGTTCCTCACCCTGGCGTAATCAGGGGTACATGATACAGGTAGGCCAGCACCCGGCCAAGAAGTTGTTCGTTCTTGCTTTAGGTGCTTAAGTGACAAGGTTATTAGCACGTTCAGCAGTTGCTTGATTACTGAACAGTTCATCATTTAAGAAAAACACACGCCAGAAGACATTTTTTCTTTAAATAAAACGCCATTACCACACTCCCACCCTAATGTCTCCAAGCCATATACCCCCTCAAGGGAGGTTCCTTGATGCTGGTGAGGGGCTCTTGATGTAGGGAATTGGATTTGTGCTCCAGTTCCCTGAATTGAGCCTGAATGCCTTCCATCTCCCTCCCCCCATGCGCTGTATAATCCTCTGGGTTCAGCGCTCACCCATGATTATAATTCTAATAATCCAAGCCATATAAAGCATTACATCGATTCAAACCATACCATGGTTGGGGTTAGAACCCGCGATCAGAGAATCTCAAAAACTCCAGACCGTCGCGTTAGCCCCTGGGCCAGCTAGCTTCACGGTTTTGAGGCTCAGATCGCGGGTTCTAACCCCACCCGTGGGATGGCATGTTTGCAATCGTGTCATTACGATTTCGTGAGTCATTACATCGATTCTTTTGTATTATTAAATTCAAAGTATTAATACATTATTAGTATATTACCTAAATTTAGAAGTAAGAGTTATTTTATATGTAATGCACTTCACTGTGCAATATAAGTACACAACATAAGAAAGGAGGAACACTGCAGCAGGCCTGTTGGCCCATACTAGGCAGGTCCTTCACAATCCATCCCACTAACAAAATATTTGCCCAACCCAAGTAGACGGAGTTTACTTTTAAGCTCTGGAAAAATAAGGCATTTTTATGTATTATGTGTTGGATTATAGTCTGTCACATGAATTGCTTTCCCTTTCATCGTGACGGGCCACTTTCTTCAGTGTTTTGTTCTTACACAAAAGATGCACTTTTATCTTCGCTCAGAGGCACTCTCAGATAGTTGTAAGCAGCTTCTTATAGCAGCGGAAGTGTAACGTGAAAAATACTTGTCTTCTGCATACATTGTTTCCACCTTCTTCTCATCATATATGTGATAGGAGATTTATATCTCTAGAGTAAGGAAACTTCTTATGATGGTTACAGTTTGTATGTATATGACTCTGTAGCATCTTATAGCATTATACTTCATAATCTTACCAGGGAAAGTCTCTGTCAACCTTTCACAAACAAAACCACTATAAATTCCAGGGAATTGTACATATTTTAGCATTAACAAATTATGTTTTCGTAAAACTTACAACGTACAGTGCTTTGGTTAATTTTACGAGAGCATCAGTTATAATTATGTTTAATAATAATAATATATTTAAGGGAAGCGCTAAACCCGAAGAGGGAATGGGAGGCAGTCAGGTTCGACCCAAGGAAGGAGAGGACAAGTTCAATTCCTTGGTTCAAGAGCCCCTCACCAGCAACCTCCAGTTGATTAAGGCACAGTAGCAGCAGTTAGAATCATCAGTGAGATAGCGTTTCGCCTGAGCAGCAAGCGAAATTGCTTTTATTTTTTTTACTACAACTTGTTGGTAAACCTATACCACCTACTATTACAATAGTAGTAGAAATGACTCATGGGTAAACGGTTCTAGACTAAGCAGCTTGTTTTCCAGAAGGGAAGATATATCGGGGAACCAAAGAGCAAGTTACAACGTGGCTTATCAAGCGGAGTCAGCAGCTCGATGGATGATGCTCTGAGCCTTCGAAATTTGCTAAAACAAACGTCATACTAAAATATTGGAATGTGACGTGCTCAAGGTATTCATAACTTACGTCCCGTATTAAAACAGTATGTACTGAATTATCGCGACCGTTCAGACAAATTATTATTAAATTTATAGGAAAGCACTGAACACATGGGCGTCATTCAGCGTCTGGGGAATAAGAGGTAATCAGGTATGATTTGAGAAAGGGGAGAGTGGCTCAGATCCTTTGAGTAGGACCCCTTCACCAGCAACAAAGAAAGTCTCCCTCCCCATGAAGGTCCGTGTAAGCAGTGCCGTGGATGTGTGACATTGTGCAAGCGGCGGGAAAAGGTCGTAGCGGGATAGTTTGCAAACAATACCTCAGTGGCGCCCGTCAGGGTATGTAGGGAGCTACCACCTTAGGTGAATCACACGTCTTTCAAACACTAGCCATTGGATTAATTGGTGAATCCTAATTAGATACTGAGAACCATCTTGTTGATTCGTACATAAACCTGAGCTAAGCATTAACAGGAACGCAATAACAGTTATGCATAATAGTTCGATTCAGGATAACACAGGTAATCACAGCAGCAACTTTTGATGTAAAAACTCTACTTGTTCGCTTATTCATGGCGTTATTTTAGATGTAATAGTATGTTATTGCCAGTCGCAGTGCGTAAATCAAAATACTTTAACAAAAAAATATTGTTTCTCGACATTATCTCACAACCACAGGCAAAAGATATACAATTAAGCAAAATTTTCGGTTCCTTAATTCTCACGTTATTAAAACTGACTTTGTTGATGTAGTTAGTCTCTTATGAAGCTGCTTTATTCTAATTATATTAAAATGAAGCTTCTAAACATTTTTCATTCGAAATTTAGTAATTATGAGTCGTTATAATTCTTTTTAATGTAAACAAATTACTAGTACAAGCAGTCATATTTTCTGCCCTATTCGCACATATTGTTTTGCCTCTTTTCTACAGCTTCAAGAGTCACAGAAACTCATCCTTTCTTAATAATCATAAAATTTATCCTCATCGGGAGTTTATGTAAGTTAAGAGGGTCACAAAGTTGTTGATTTGAAATCTCTGTAGCATATCTAAAAAAAATATGTATAAGTTATTGCTGTGTAAAGTGTTCATCAAGATAAAGCTAAGGTATTTAAGAAATATATGATGTAATAGTACTTGTAAGAAAGTACCGGTAATATTTGTATAATCTTATGACATACTGATATTCTTCAGATCGAATGTAGTATACATATTGATCGGTATATTAGGTTCATACACTCAACAACTTTAATTCCAATCTTTGAAGTTACAGTAATCTTTGATGCTCATGTCTAGGGTTATAGACCTTGAATGACTCGTGCAGACGACAGGCCTGAAACTGATTTAATTTTGTTGTATTTGTCAAGAGACAATTTCCATTTATATTTTAAAACGCCTTCGGATCCCCATTTACAGAAAACAATGTACGCTAGCTGGATAAAAGGAATACCGGCAACCTGTTTGAATCAAATGGGTGGGGGGGCTTGAGGTATATATAGTGGTGGTTCCGACCACTTTAGTATCACTTCCCCTTCCCCGGCAAGGAGACGCATATACTCAGTCATGCTGTCTTGCAAGTTCTTCCTCGTGGTTCTCTGTCTTGGTATGCGCTCAGTCTATATATGCAGATTTACATGCATTTTAACCAAATTTCATTTTCTGATGACTAATTTCAAAACGCTGTATCAGTGATATACGCTATATCATTATAAATAAATACTATTTTAAAGGGTTTTCTAAAATGTGTTTTTTATAAGTAATTTCTAAATTTATATAAAAAAATATTTTTTACATTTTTTATTTTGCTGTCTCTTAATTAAGAAAAATGCTAAATTCTAACTTAGATAAAGTGCCATAAAAATTCAGGGATAATTTGTTATTAAAACTCTATTTCACTTATTACTAACACACATGGATCGTATTTTCTCTAGATATATTTAATTCATATTATTTAATTAATATTCGTATTTTTGTGAGTTCATTTGAATAAGTTCTCGCTAAACGAGTTTTAGTTTTGCTTTCATGAAAAGTAATTATTAATGACTGTTTTACGCCTCTATACAGTTTAGTTGCAGTCTTAAAATACTACTGCTAATAATAATAACCCGGCTGCTTTTGTTAAGTATGTTCCAAGGCATCGCATATTCTGTACTTGTCTTGCATAAGTAATGGTAATAGTCATTTTATATCTAACAAGATATACTTGAATCTTTAAAATAAGAACTAACGTGAGCTCAGTGTTTATACACCGAACGTTACACACCTCTTTATATATTTCCTGAGTTTTACGTATCACTGTATATACACTTGAGCTATACATTCCTCTTCTTATATATACCTAGACATATCTTACAAGTTGGTGTTGGTTATTACAGGTGTGGCTGCTGCCGAGGAAACCTCTAGGGTGAGTGAACATCTTGTATTGAAAAGTTAAGAGGTATATTTTCAGCTAGTGTCCATTTATAAGACTTGTCACTTTTCTGAATTCTCATAATGGTGTCAAAATGAGAGATTTACGTGCTTTCACACTTAATTTTCGACTGTAATTTGAGATGAAGATATAGTAGCCACTAAGAAAGTATGATTATTATTTTTTTTCAAGTGTTTAAGGTAAGGATATCATAAAAGTTCAAAATAAATTACTAATAATTATGTCTAACATAGCTAAATATGGTGCTTATGCTCACTGCTTGATTTTTGTAATATTATTTAGTAATATTAATATTTAGTAATATTGTAATATTAATATTATTGTGTATCACTATTTCATATGTCTGTAAGGCAAGAATTTAAAAATACCGATTGCGATACAAAGCTATGATTAAACTAAATTAAAGGCATTATTAGTAGAATATATAGGTAAGTACTTTAACAGGAAAAACGTGGCTTCGCTGGAGGTTACGGAGGCGGCTATGGTGGTGGCGGCGGTGGCGGCGGTGGAGCTTATGGTAACGGTGGCAGCTACTTGGTGGTGGGTGGTTATGGTCATGGTGGACATGGTCCCACGGCCGCTGACATCGCTAACCAGGCTGCCTCTCAAGCTACCGCGGCTTTCGCTAGTCTAGGAGGGGCAGCTCACTCTGCAGCTGCAGGAGCAGCAGCAGGTGCTGCAGCTGCTGCTGCCGCTGCCTCACAGACAGCTCAGGCTGCCGCAGCCAACAGACACGCACAAGCTGCACAGATCACACAAGCAGCGCAGGGAGCTCAGGCGGCGGCCTTCCAAGAGGCATCACTAGCTGGCAAGGCTCACAAGGCTGAGCAAGCAGCTAAGGTGGCCCATTCCATGGCACAAGCTCTGGTCAGTAACTTGGGTCAAGTCTCTGGAGAGACCAACGCTCTGGCAGGTCAGGCTACCAATAGTCTGGCTGCTCAGGAAAGTGTCCTTAACTCACAGAACTCCATGGCGTGGCAAGCCCAACAGGCTGCCAATTCTCTGCGCACACAGCAGAATGTTGTCATCAACGACTTGCACTCCGCTGCAGGCGCCGCCTCTCAGGCTCAGATCGCAGCATCCAAGGCTCTCGCTAAGGCAAAAGGGGCTAATAATGGAGGGTTTGGGGGTTACGGAGCAGGACATGGGTTTGGATATGGAGGGGGATACCACTGAAGATAAGGAAGAAATATCGTCCTCCAAAGTATGCGAGAAACTGTCAGAATCAGATGCAGTGGATCGTGTTAGTAGGAGCAGCATCTTGAAGAATGTCAGTAGTAGGGCTTGCAGGATCTTCACGTACCAGATAATCTTGTACGCAGCTGCAATATTTCAGTTATTGTACATACCCTCCTAATAAAAGAATGGAGGCTTTATTAATAAACAAGATATATGAAGAGTAATTTTTGTTTGAAAATCTTATTACCATTTAAATTTAAATCTTTCGTATCACACTAGTTGAAACATTTCTATTCATTCTGTTGGAAACATATCACCGGGAGGTATATATTTAAGATCCATGCCAATGTTTTATGAATGATATTGGCGTTAAAATTCTCTCTCTCTCTCTCTCTCTCTCTATATATATATATATATATATATATATATATATATATATATATATATATATATATAGCAAAATTGTAAAGCAACAAGTCTTCCGTACTAAATTGTCCTACGGTGATTTGATATTGCTCAAATCAGAAAAAAATCTTGCTACCTGTGCTTCACTGGAAAATACTCTAGTAATAAAAAAAAGTTTTTCTGTATCTTTTTTGTTTTCATACTGCCTTGGGTTTATTTTTTATAATATATAGACAAAATTCAAGCTATATAATAGGATGACTGTGTTTGACGTAAGTTATTTTTTGTTAGTTGTAAAAAAAAACTGCTTGTTGTGTAGTCTTTAAGTCACAAATACTTATTTTTTTTTTCAATATTTAATTGTTAGCGTGTTCATTGGAGGGTCCCCTTGTATGGAGGCGCCTTGTTGCTGGTGAGGAGTCGTCTTGATTCCATGAGTTTTAGGTACACTTCCTCGAATCATGATTACTTTTCATTTCTCTGGCGTGGTATGACTTCTACGAATCTAGCGCTTTCTGATGAATATAATACAGGAGAATTGCCGAATGTTTGAAGGTGAACAGATCTGCACATTGGTACAGTAATCGCAGGTGTGTGAAGGAGCGCATGCCGACGGCGTTATGAACTCGATATGTTTCAGGAACATACGGGAAAGGGATTCTAAGAGAATGATCGATATTGAGACCTGCAACGCTAGCAAGAGTGGATAGTTTATTTTTAGGTATCCCTGTAGGAGTACCTTAAAGTGGTTCTCAGAGTTCCCCCAAGGTTTTCGTTAACTTGAGAACGCCTCGTCTAATCTACTTCAGATTTTTAATGCTGGTGAATTATAACTAGGGAAAGGTTCAAAGAACTATTGATGTGCATGTGCCCTCTTGTAAATTTTATATAGACAGTTTACTATTTTGATCGACTTCAAACTTTGAACATGGGTGTAATCTACTTTGAAGAAATTTGACAATTATTAGATTGTGTAGGTGCCAATTTGTCAACTTTATTTCTGAAAAGTATAATACATAGTATCCCTTTTCTGAACGGCTTCCTTCTTTAATGGCTAATTCACTCAACGAAAAGGGTGATACCTGTTGGGTTTAGGTTGTGTAGTTGCAAATTTGTTAACCTTTAATAATCTTGGAATTGTTGAATTCTATAATCGGAGACTGCATCTTCTAGTCTGCTTCAAATTTTTAGCACTTGTGGTTTTTTCTCAAAAGAAGCTCTGCCAGTACATATTTGTATTATTAAAAGATTTGCTTTCTGTGCAATAACTAGAGAATGCATTTTTTCAACTTCAAATCATAAACACTCGTGTATCTTACTTAGAGAAGGGTTTGGTTGATTTTGGGCTGTTTAGGTGCCAATATTCCATTTTTTATTATATTTTTTTTAAGAATTTGGATTCTTTTAATATTGGTTTTCTTGCGATAACTTGTGTATGCCACATCCAATCGCTTTTAAGTCTTTAACAGTGAGCGGCTTCGATGCTGTCACCGGGTCACCATCTGTAAAAGACCCGGGCCGGGACAAGACCGGCGAACCTACAACAACAGTGCTGTTGTATTTTGGAATATTGATCTTGGTGTGATAACTAGAGAATGTCTTTTGGTTAACTTTAATCAAAGTTGGTGTTTCTTATTGGAAGGTTGGAATTGATTTTGGGTTGTCAATTTGCATTGCATTTTGAAGAAATCGTGACATTCGTTTCTAATGCATTAACTTCGGAGTGACATTTTTGACTAGCTTGAAATGTCAACGCAGATATTTAACTGCATTAGAAATATATGCTACAGTTTATACTCTTCCTTCAGCAGGCATTGAGATAGAGGGGCTGGGTTATGGGATATGGGAATATCTGATTGCACACCGACTGAAATATATGGGAATTCTAAGGAATAACAGTGTTAAGGAATACCAAGCAATGTGAAAACTGGAATAATTAAGCGGTTACGACGTTAGTCTGGTAAGTAATACATGTGTCAGATATACAAAAAAGTTCTAGCACAAATATAATATCTAAAAGTTTTGAATGTGTGTAAAATATGAGTATTAGTAAAATTGCCTTCTAGGAATACAGGTAGTAGTTTCATTGTGAATGTGAGTGTGGGCATGTGCACGCATGCACACGCGCGCTGAAAACTTGCAGGCTCCATACATAGTTTTAAGAGTATGTATGATAGGGCCCATGACACCAAGAGGGGAAAAGGGTGAATCTGGAGAGTAGCAAGTAAAGAGGCAGGGCCAGGAAATGATAAAGAATGTTCACGCGCGAACGAAGGCTGTTTCAATGTGAATATATTCACACACAAATGCACAAAAATATTCTTTTTCCCTGAATGTGATCATAACATACAAGGAGGCGTTTTCATTGTGAATGTGTCAACACATAAACGTAGGCTCTTTCACTGTTAATGTGTCCACACAGAGACGGAGGCTGTTTCACTGTGAATGTATCCTATACACAGTCGGATACTGTTTCACAGTGAAAGTGTTCACACACAAACTGACGGAGGCTTTCATTGAATATGTCCACACACACACACACGGTCGGATACTGTTTCACTGTGAATGTGTCCACACATTCATAGAAGTTGTTGCGTAGTGAATGTGTACACTCATGGAGTGAGGGTGATTCACTGTAAATGTCCACACACTTAGAGGCGGTTTCACTACGTAACCACACACATAGTGACTCACTGTGAATGTGTTCCTAGTCGCCATGAGAGTCTAGTTATTCTTAGTTCCCATGATCGTGTGTCCTCGTGAATGTTCAGTGTATTACGTTCATTGCATTTATTACTTTTTCTAGTACTGTTGTTGCTGCTCTGACTGTCCACTTCTGATGCTCAAGAGTTCAGTTAATTTTGTCTCTGCCCCTCTAGATTTTCAGCCCTGAAATGTTATATAATCCACCAAAAATATATATGGAATAAAATTCATTAAATTACAACTACTAATATCATTGTTACTCCAACAATGATACTAGTAGTGGTGTTTGTACCATGTCACTGAGTCGGTTGAATGGAGGGCTATTTCTGTTATTTAATCAAAATTCATCAAATAAGAGTGCACCAAAGCTGAAATGCATGACTCGAAGGGCTCATGAAAATATAATTCAGATCTCGGGTTCTTTCTCAGGCATCACACGGGATAATGGCCATATTGTGATTGTACTTATTGTATAGTATAAGTGATTTAGTTTATGTTGAGAATTCCTGTTAATATTTACTTTATTGCACCATCTGAGTATCATCATAAAACCAATTTTTATTTTGAAAAGGGGCAGAGTGGGTCAGAGGTGGCCATTATAAAAATGTGTAAAAATGTGGGACTCATTAGCATAATAAAGTGGGAACTAATCATAATAGCACAGTATTTTCTATGCGTATTTCTTGTGGACATAAGATGTGACCATTGGTCTCAGCTGAAATTGTCGGCCCAGAACGTTTTTTACATAGGCCAGTTTTCTTAATTGAATTATTTACCCCATTTTAAATTTTATCTCTAAATGTTGAAGATAATTATTTCAAATTTCGCAAGTTCTTGCCTTAGATCTGTGTTTATTAAACAAACCTTTACTCTTCCTCAGATGTTATATACGGTGGAAGCCTGAGGTAGATCTTTAACTCACTGTGATAATACGAACCTACTTCTGACAGTTTGGCATACATACAGATGATTATCAAACTAAATGCAAAGTATATGGTCAGTCTTATTGTATATCTGGTGTATATTGTTTTCTAAGCCCACGTTTATTTTCTGGTGCACTTTTCATTGTAGTTTTTCACTGTAGGTAGAAAGTGGGATTAGTAAGTACATATGCACCTGTATTGTTAAAACTCATGGTTTCGAAGACCTGTCACACACTTTAATTTTGCTAAGCTTCATTGTTTCATGATAAATACATATCTAAACCACGGCTTCATGCCTCAAAGATCCAAATCTTAGGTGAGAGCAACTAGTTAACAAGTACTTGTCACATTTAGCGGACCAGAGGGTTGAGCCTCCACCACTTCTTGCGCTGAGTGAACCACGTGGGTTTACTTACCAATTGTAATAAAGTTGGTAGAATTACCGACAATATGTAAAGTAAAAGGACACAAGTGCAACTAATGTGACATTTTATTGTGGCAACGTTTCGCTCTCCAGGAGCTTTATCAAGCCATTACAAACAATACATGGACACAGAGGGTATATAAAGGCTCAGAGTGAGGTGCAATACTAGTGAGGTACCATTTCGATGTTCACTAGTGGTAGTAGTAGTAGTAGTAGTAGTAGTGACAAAAGTAATACAATATTGTAGAGCAAATAATTCGTACATGAGTAAAAGGATATGAACACATTTACGCATGTAGGAACGATAACTTGAACAACGCCTGTGTACAACACCGAAATTCCACCAATCATCTCATGAAATTCAGAGACGCCCAATTAGTGATCAAAGAAACTAATTTCCGCAGACGCAAGTGCCTCGAATCAGCACTGATCGCTGTTTCAAATACAATTAAACAAAACAACGGCAGCTTCACCATCTCTGAAGTCTTAGCAAGAATCCTCCTGAAAACAGTAAACCCTGCCATCACATAGTCTCTCCTGTTATACTACACAAAGCACATTACAGAGTGAACACTGAAACAAGCTGCCTCTTTCCAGTCTATATTTGTCCAACCTATTTTTATGTTACCCAAGTAATAGCTTTTACATCCTTTTACTCATGTACGAATTAATTGCTCTACAATATTGTATTACTTTTGTCACTACTACTACTACTACTACTACCACTAGTGAACATCGAAATGGTACCTCACTAGTACTGCACCTCACCCTGAGCCTTTATATACCCTCTGTGTCCATGTATTGTTTGTAATGGCTTGATAAAGCTCCTGGAGAGCGAAACGTTGCCACAATAAAATGTCACATTAGTTGCACTTGTGTCCTTTTACTTTACATACTTACCAATTCACATAGAGTCCAAGTTGTGCTATATTCCACATCTGTTAAAGTATTTATGGAATATATCTAAATTCCATTGTTTTCCTGGTTTGCTAATCATATCTCATATAAAAAAAATCAGTATCACACAATCGAGTGGACCTTGTTGCAAACCATCGTTTCTTTCAAGATTAGTGATGATAATATTCGCTATCCTTTGAGCTGCAGATGGAAACCTGTGACAGTGCATATTGACACCTTAGGACTGCTGACTATTACGCTAATCTACGCGAAATAGTGGAACTACACGCAGGAGATTTTTACCATTAAAATTATATAACTGACAAAAATAGCTTGACGCAAAGGATCAAGATGGGAATTGTTGCAGCCACGGTATTGTGGCCTTTACTATTCATAGGCATCTAGCTAAGAATGGTGAGTAATTAGTAGTTAGATCACAGTTGTCGTTACTTTGCGCTTGACGGTAAATCGGCAACCCAAATATAAAATCAGTGACTTTCCTTTCCTGTGGGAGTGAGCTCAACAATACCTTGTAAGGAGGCTCGTCCAGAAACACTGGTAGTGCAACAATACCCGCTGAAACAAGAGGCATTTTTTTTTGTTGTTTCAATAAACCGGCTGAGTTGGTGGGGGACTGGGGCAGGTATATAAAGTGGGTGGAAGAGACGAAGGAGCCACAACTAGTCGTACCTACTAAGCGCTACCAACTTTCCATCATGATGCTCAAGGCTCTTTTGTGTGCATGCCTCGTGCTTGGTGAGTTCTCTCATGGCTCTACTCTCTTCCCTTAGGGCTTAGGGGGTTGCCTTGATGCTTGTGAAGTTCTTTTGATCCAAGGAATTAGAATTACCATCCCTTTCCTCGGATCGATCTTGATTTACCCACACCTTTCCCATTTCCCAAACACTTTTTGAGCCTAACGAGTTTACCGCCTCTCGCATGAGAATTTAATGAATTCTCATTTCCTGTTGTTTTATAACTTCTCTCGTCATTTATTAGTTTGAATTTTTTAAATTATTTGGGTTCAATCCTATCTTCCTAATACTTTACCCACAAATAAACTAAAGTATATATACACTGAGATACGCCCCCCTCAGTGTATACACGTTGTAAAAACTTTATTATTTGGATATAGATTTCCATTGATATTTGTACAGTATTGTAATGTAACAACCGAATACTGCTTCTTAGATTATGTGAATTTAAGTTCAATTTAGGTTTATAAGAAGGAAATTAAAAACCAGTTTTTTTTTTCAGGGGTATTAAGCGAGGAAAAGAAGGCTACTTCAGACAGGGTGAGTATTCCTGCCTTGATAGGGAAGGAAGTGTGATGCAGACTACCAGAAGACTAGGTCTGTAAATTTTATTACAAATAATAGGGAGTGCTGACACAGTGCAGTGGAGTTAGCCGGCAGTGCTACCGACGAGTTTGTGGTTGGAGGGTAACAGGAATTTCGTTGCTCATGATGACTGGCGTCGGAGCCCTGAATTCAACATAGTGACTACGAACGTATGTGTGAGTTATGGCTAGGCTGTCAAAGCTAATGCTATGTTAGGGTGGCTAGGTTAAGCAGAATTATGTCCTCCAACCCGTGACAGGTTGCCGTCAAGGGTAACAGCTGGGATCGGTTTTCAAACCTTTTCTTATTTTACCAAAGAATCACCGAATTGATTAGTAAACAATTACACACGCATAATTGTTTCTCGGAAACTAGCTTACATCTCTTAACATAAATTACATTTATATCAACAGTATCCACCAATTAATTTGTCAAGGAATATGATGGTTTTATTAAACCTGTTTGGTTTATGATACTCTAGTTAATGATAGTTCTAGTTATTTATCTTCTTACAATATAAGTGCAAGCCATTTCGAGAATATTGATGGAGATAAGATTCAACTTGCCCTATAGGCTAATTAGTAGACTTAAATAACGATTAAAATTTTATTTCATTATACATGAACAATTATAGATCTAAAATAATAAAGAAATTTCTTAGTATTAATAGTAATAATAATAATAATAGTTGTAGTAGTAAAAGTAATGGAGGGAGTTCTAGGGGTCAACGCCCCCGCGGCGCGGTCTCGGACCACTACCTAAGTTTTTGCATCTAAGGAAGATAACTTTCTCTTATACAAATACTCATTTTAATATCTACTAATAATCTTAGAAGGTAAGCGATAGGCACATGCAGATCTTAAGAAAAAGTGCTGCAGATCAGGCTTCTAGAGCGCAAGATATGAATCTTTCAAAATTTTCGTGATTTAATCATAAATCTCGTCCCACAGGATAGTGTACGGATGACTACTGATATCACTTTTCCATTATTAATTATAGCATTATGGAATTTCTAACCAAGATATTTTAACGCTAGAGATCTGTCTGAAGATCATGTTATCCTTGCCGATTGTTCACAGGATAATAATGGTGCTCCTTGACCCCCGTCCCCAGGATAAGCGCGGGTTTGCTGGAGGCCATGGCGGAGGTTACGGCGGCGGCTACGGTGGTGGTCACGGAGGTGGTGGCAGCTACCTAGTGGTAGGTGGCGGCGGCGGCGGTGGTCATGGCCCCAGCGCCGCCGATGTAGCAAACGATGCTGCCAATCAGGCTACTGCTGCTGCCGCAGGTTTAGGAGGAGCAGCCCACGCTGCAGCCGCAGGAGCCGCAGCAGGTGCCGCAGCAGCCGCTAATGCTGCTTCACAAACGGCCCAAGCTGCGGCAGCCAGCAAGCAGGCCCAGGCAGCTCAGGTGACGCAGGCGGCACAAGGAGCTCAGGCCGCAGCCTTCGCTGAAGGTTCTCTGGCTTCTAAGGCTAATATCGCCTATCAAGCTGCCAAGGTAACCGCCTCTATGGCCAACAGTCTTGCTGCCAATATCGCTCAGATCCTGGCAGAGGCCAAGGCTCTGGCCAACCAGGCGGCCAACAGTTTGGCCGAGCAGCAGAACTTCCTGGCGGCTCAGAGGACCATGGCCTGGCAGGCTCAGCAGGCTGCCAATTCCCTCAACCAGCAGCAGTACGTGGCGCTCAACGACCTGGAAGATGCTGCAGGTGCGGCTGCCCAGGCTCAGGCCTCAGCAACCAAGGCCATCTCCAGGGCCAAGGGCAGCAGCGGACACGGATACGGGCGCTAAGATATACGTAGTCTTAATTATCTTAAGGTCGAAGGCTTAAGTTACAATTTATTGATGCGAAGTATTACATATTAAACGGCTTATGGAAGAAATATACCGCATAAATGTACAGAATACCCTTTCTGTTTACCTTAATGTTCTGCGATGTGCAGATCTAATAAATCATTTAAGAAATATCTCCAAAATTTTGACTCTAAAGGCAACCTAATGGTATCTGATGAAGGGAAAAGATTCATAGGGATCGCAGAGATATGGAATTTTGATTTGGGCTATGTAATTCGACCTGTTCATCTATGCAAATTGTAAATATATGTAATATGTCTTAAAATTTTTTATATATGCTTAACAATTCGCAAACAGGCGAAATTATTTAAAAACATTGCCTCTACATCTACAGCAGGACTCGAACCTGCAAACTCTTTATCAGTGACCATTACTATACCACGGAGCTAGACCCCAGTGGTCACTCTGATACAGAGTTTGCAGGTTCGAAAAAAAATATTACTGCGCATCATTGGTTACAGATATTTCTTTGTTTACTAAGCTCCTACCACAGCACTAAACGTTTTACATTTTAAACTACCCATCATACAACATACGAAGCTGATGTGTGATAACCTCAGTTTCGTGGTCTCAGTCTCGTTGTCACGTGTTGCAGTAGAGTTAATATAGTTTTACCTAAATTAATGTTTTAATTTATAAATTAACTTTTTTATTAAAATTTCCTGATGAAGATTTAGTTGAAGGTGTTCTTAGTTATAGATATAATGGTTTTGAGATGCCCAGGTGACTTGCAACAACCTTAGTAACATGTTTCCTGGAAGTTCTGGTAATAATAGCAATTTGATTTCTTTATGGAAATTGTTTAAGTACATTGTCTAAATGCTCTGTAGCTGTGGTTAAAACTGAAGTTTATCATTGTGTTAGATGTATTTCATCATTGATTTATTTAATACCAAAATGGTATACAATACCGACATGTTGGTAGGCAAGACACATGGGCAACAGTTAGGCAACTTTATTCGAAACGTTTCGCCTACACAGTAGGCTTCTTCAGTCGAGTACAGGAAGTAGGCAAGAGCAGTAGAGATGTGAAGACGATGTAATCAGTTCATCACCCTTGAAGACGTAGATTTGAGGTTGTCAGTCCCTCAGCCTGGAGAAGAGTTCTGTTCCATAGTCTGGATGTGCCCTTCACTGAGCAACTTTACCAGCAGCTTAAGGAGCAGTTGAGGGTACTGAAGCTAGAGATACGGCGATTGACGGAGAAAAACAAGAGGATTCGTAGTAGTCCTCCTGTTGAGAGTCCTCAGGTCAAGAAGGGAACCTGGGCAGTGGCAGGACAGCATGGAACGAATTTGAAAATCGAGAAGACGAATGGAGAAGTAGAAACGATGAAGAAAGAGACTGCTGTGGAAACTGTCGTGGAAACATCGAAAGCATTCTCCATGCTACCCGATGAATGTGATTTCGACTACTGGGAACGTCATGACGAACGACACCAAGGAAGGTAAAAACGTTGTTGGGGATAGCCAGGTTAGGTATATGGATAGGGCCTTCTGCTTGCAGGATAGGAGTAGGAGACAGAGGGTTTGCTTTCCTGGGGCTGGAATATAGGATATTGTTAGCCGGCTCGACATCATGAACTGTAATGGGATCAGTCTTATTATCTGTCTCAGTGCTGGAGGCAATGATGTAGGCAAGCATAGAAGTGAGTATTTAGTTAGAAGGTACAGACCAGCAATAGACATAATTAGGAAGAAGGGGGGGTGCCCTCTCATATATGGCATTTTGCCAAGAAGGGATGTTGGAAATGAATGGTTGTCCAGAGTAATTGGTATTAATTGTTGGTTGGACAATGTATGGATAATGCAGTACCATTCATTGACAACTGGGACCACTTCTACGGTAGAAATGACATGTATGCCAAGGATGGGGTTCATTTATCCTGGGCAGGTGTGGGTTTTCTTGCTAGCTCAGTTGAGGGTGTTGTTAGGACACCCTCAACTGATTAGTTAGAGGTATGGGTTTAGAAATGGAAAATAATGAGTATGGATATGTTGACTTAGGCTTTGATATTATGAATCTTAATTGTAACAGTCATGGAGTAACATTAGGTAATGGCAATTACAGAAATTGTGTAAAAGCAAAGGTGAATAGGAAAATGGTGCAGAAGAAAAAACATGTTACTGTATTTTATGCTAACAGTCGAAGTGCAAGAAATAAGATTAATGAATTACGTTTGGTAGCTTGTGCTGGGAACTTTGATGTCATTGCAATAACTGAAACATGGTATGATTTAAAGAGCGGGATATGATTGCTGAGTGTAATATTCAAGGGTTTAAGTTCCGTGTGGATAGATATAATGGGAAAGGGGGAGGAGTTACATTATATGTACGAGAAAATATAAATTGTTGCATAAAAATGGGTATAAAAATAGATGGATGGGTAGTTTGTCGAAGGTGAAGAAAAACTAATTTTAGGTGTAATATACCGACCTCCAGGCTTGGATCACGATAGAGGGAGACTTCTTTGGGACGAAATTGTTAGGGCTTCTAGACACAATAATGTAGTGATAGTAGGGAATTTTAACTTTAGTCAAATTGACAGGACTTCTTTCACCGGTAATCTGGAGTCCAGTGACTATGGAAGTAGTTCAGGACTGTTTTCTGGAGCAGTATGTAACAGAGCCTACCAGGGGTAATAATTTGCTCGACCTAGTCTTGTCAAATAAGGAAAAACTCGTAAATAATCTGGACATGGCTGAAGAGCTTGGCGCAAGTGATCACAACTCCATCACTTCGAGCATTAACTGCGAATACGAGAATAATGATAATACAGTAAAAGTCCCTGATTTTCGTTCTGCCGATTATAATGGACTTAGGGGATGCGGGCTACCGTCCGCCTGTATCTTGGACCTATGCTAGCCTGTCTGACTGCTGTCTCACTCTAAGTTTAGGGTTTGGCTTTTGGTCACGAGAAAAGCTGAGCTCTATCAAAGAGTTGGATGGTGGAGAGGAAAGGCGGTCCCATTATTTTGTGCCATGGCGGCACGGTTACCACTGGGAGGTGGCAGCCTAATCCTGAGCCTTCTCGGGGTGGGGGTGTGGCATGCAAAGAGTACGTAACCTTTATTCGGCGCATGTACACACCCTCATTTACAGGCTATCTCCCCCAACCAGCGAACCAGGTTGCTAAGAGTTGATGATGGGGCCCCGTCGTTCAACTAGTGACCAGGTTCTAGCCAATAAGAAGATGGTTTTGGCAATCGCAGAGGTTATGTGGGTACCGCTCTCCTGTCTGCCCTTGTCATTCCCATTCTAGAGCTGGTTGAAGCACGGTCTGCTATCTTGTGGCTTCTATTTCTGTTTTGCTTACCGTGGAGTGCACTATACTTATCACTGTACATAGTGTACATATTGCTGTTATAAATTGGTGAAGGATAATATAAGTCTAAACTTTTTCTACTGTGTTTATTTGCTCCCATTACACCCAGGGTAACAGGCCATTTGAATCCTGGGTTGTAATAACCTGACTAATCTCGATTGGGGTGAATTAGCTAATAATTTTATTGACGATGATCATAATACGATTATGAAGGGATCTGCGTTTATGATTTTTTTTTCTTAATAATGTACAACGTGCTAAGAGTATATACATTCCTCCTATTAACCCCAAATGGGTTAACAGGAGGCTAAATCATCTATTAGGGGAGAAAAAGGGAAATTTATAGGCGCATCAAAAGAGGAAAGGTTAATCTTGCTGACCAATATGTTCAGCTTAAAGGAGAAGTAAAAAAGGGGATTAGAAAGGCTAAACGTGATTATGAAATTAGAGTCGCTAATGAATCAAAGACTAATCCAAAAGGGTTCTTTCAAGTGTATAGGACGAAGGTGAAGGAAAAAGTAGGACCTCTGAAAATTGGGAATGGACAGCTGACGGATAACGAACTGGAAATGTGTTCCCTATTTAATGATTATTTTTTGTCAGTTTTTACACAGGAAGACATAAATAAAATTCCAGAAATTAACAGTTATTCATTTCCTGATGAATTCAAGTTTAATATTACTGTCACGAGGGACATGGTTATCAAACAGATAGCTATACAAACTGAAGCAAAATAAGTCCCCGGGACCTGACGAGTTGTTAGGTAAGGCACATATGCAACAGTTAGGTATCTTTATTTCAAAACGTTTCGCCTTCACAGTAGGCTTCTTCAGTCGAGTACAGAAAAGTTGATAGAAGCAGAAGAGACTTGAAGACGATGTAATCAGTCCATCACCCTTAAAGTTTTGAGGTGGTCAGTCCCTCAGTCTGGAGAAGAGCATTGTTCCATAGGCTGAAACAATATGGAGTTGAAGTGACAGGATGGAGCCTTATATAGCGCCAGGAGGTGAGACGTAGGTCACTAGTAGAACTCAGATGTTGGGAAGAGCACCTATGGTGCTCTTCGCTCCTCCTAGGTTGAGAAACTGATTACCTCATCTTCTGTATATAGTCCTACTCTCTTCAAACTATGTCCTAGAATTTGTATTGATAAAGCCACTGGATGGCGAAACGTCTACAATAAAGATACCCAGATGTTGCACATGTGTCTTAATTTCATTTAGTCATCCTACGCTGAATGTTTTCTAACGAATTTATGTCCATTTTGTAATATGGAGACCAGAATTGAGCTGCATAATCTAGGTGAGGCCTTACTAATGATGTATAAAGCTGCAGTATGACCTCTGGACTTCTGTTGCTTACACTTCTTGATATAAATCCCAATAATCTATTTGCCTTATTAGTACGCTTATGCATTGCTGTCTTGGTTTAAGGTTGCTGCTCACCATAACCCCCAAGTCCTTTTCGCAATCTGTATGGCTAAGTTCTACATCATTTAACTTATAAGTGCTAGGGTTATGGACACTCCCGAGCTTCAGAACCTTGCATTTATCTACAATGAACTGCATCTGCCACTTTTCTGACCAAGAATATAGTTTGTTTAAATCCTCCTGAAGTTCCCTAACGTCTACGTTTGAATCGATTATCCTACCTATCTTTGTGTCATCGGCGAATTTGCTCATATCACTA